TATATAATATAATATAATATAATATAAATAAATATATAAATTCAATATAATCAGGAACTGTTAATATTTGAATGTGTATACAAAATATATTGAACTCCATTCTAGCCCTTCCACTTAGAATAAAAACAAAATATGAACGGTAATCCAATCCTAAACAATTTTACTTGGAATATATTCCTAGTAGATATGATTTCAGTAGCAGCTAAATCATAATGATAAAAATTATAATGTTTATGTAATCCAGTCAACTCACAATTGTTTAAATATGCCAAATAATGGTACATTGAGATTTTTTTAAAAAAACGTCCCAGAATTATAAAATGTATACAAAAATATAAATCTAAAGAAATACCTAATATGCATTTTCAATATATGAATATTGCTATTGCACAAACAGAGATGATGCACTTATTCATAATCTGTAGTCTGGTTTTTATCATCCTTAATAAGAAACACAGCAAAATAAAATGGGCCTAAATTTGCCATAAATCTGAGCATTGTGAAGTACTTCTTAGAATCACATTTTGGAGCAGAAGGATCCTTTCTTCATTCCATCTGTTCTAGTCCTGGTTTTTGCAAAGCAGATCATGTAGTCATGGAGCAAATGTATCAATGAAGTTCATCTTCAGTAGGATTAAAATGCACCTGTGTAGCAAAAATTGACCCTGCCCGACCCAGGCAGACATTTGTGCCAGCAATTCCAAAGTTGTGATCTTGTGTATGAGTCTCAAATCAAGAACTAGGGAGAATATGTGCTAGGAAATGTCTCAGTGATTCTGTATGTTATATTTGTAGACTGCATCACCCTTCATTATCCTTTAACAGTTTCTATTTCCTCTTCATTATGATTCTTAACTCTCTTAATCACTAAGCAATGAGATACCCAGTTGAGAATGCAATGATTGTATGCCCTGCAGTAGAATGGACAATTTTTCAGACAGTTTGAAGAACTGTGATAAGGGGACAAAGGCCTTTAAGTCACCTACCAACGTGTTGAACCTGGACTGCAGGCATTAAGTCACCTGATTTATGTCTTCTTCACTATAGTGAGATATATCATATTTATATTTAAATGACAATAATATCTGAATTTACATCTTCATATATAAATTTGCATAAGAATGTTTTATGATAATCCTCACCCTTTTTTTTTTTCTCTTTGTGACACACAATCACATAGGCAACATATTCACCATTATGGAAATAGCAATAATTTTTAAATGTGCATCAGTGGTTACATGTTCATGTATAACGTATGTACTTCGTAGCAATATATGTGGCCTTGGTCTCATGGCAGAACTGAACAACCTGGTTCATGTGGGGGATTTTTAAAAACTTGTGAAGACTCTGCTTCGGTTCTAATACAAGAAAAAGCTGCTTGGATTCTTTGAGGAAATTGACTTGAGTTTAATCATCTGCAAGCCTTGTCTTCTTCCCTAAAGATCAATAGGATGCCTGTGGTTCTGGGCATAGTCAGTTGCTAAGTAAAAGCATTGTAATTCCAAAGGAATATACATACATGCAGTGGACCAGTCTGACCATTATTCCTAGTACCACAAACATCTGCATTTTGATAGACTTCCAGGTTCCTTGAAGCTGGCAGGACTGGGGAAAAATCTTTTAATTATTTCTTATGTTTACTAATTTGCAAGTAATCACTGAAACCATGAAATCTCTTTTGCTCAGTCCAGGAATGTATTGGGTTATATTGTAAAGAATTTAGAGAGGAGGAAATGTTCAGAATTAATTATGCATAATTTATTCTATGTGCCTAGAAGAGAACAAGCTGTGCCACTTCTCCTGGCATAAGATTTATTTATTTGTTTTTTTGATATAGATTCCATTTTTTTTCTCCAGGAGTTAAAGATTTTTTTTATGGAATTTCCTTTAATTTTATCTTTTTTTTAAAAAAAATAATTTTTATTAAAGTTTAAAAATACAGAGATTAAAAAATTAATACAAACTAACACAAATATAAAAAGAAAAAAAGAAAGAATAAAAAGTACAAAGGGAAAAGAAGAAAAGGAAAAAAGGAGAGAGAAAAAGTATGTGTGTGTGTGTATATATACTGTATATGTGTGTGTGTGTATTTCATATATACTGTATATATATATGAAAAATAATATATAAAGAAATGACTTTCCTCTTCATCAAGACAACTACAAACAATTTCAGTAACTCATCACCTTCTCTAACATTTCAGTCAAAGATCTCTTAATCCTGTATCTCATATTTTATCTATTAGTAAATAATAAAACCCCATCATTCAATCTTAATCAACAAAAGTCCATTAAGAGCTACCAGAAATAACAACATATATAACATTAAACAAGTAAATCAATTTCATTTCATTTCTTTTGCACAGTAACTTATCATTTTCTCTAAAAATACAACAAAAAATCTTCCCATATTTTATCTTATATCTATAAGCATACTATAGGAGCTTATTGTTCAAACTTAATAATAATAATAATAAAAAATTCTATTAAGAGCTACCAGTAACTTAATATTTAAACCCTTCAAATAATATCCCACAAATTAATTTATCATTTTCTCTTCATCTCCTCTCAGAAATTCCTCCACAAATTTAACATTTTCTCTCAACTAACGTCATAACCCATCACTTTCTCTAATCATACAACAAAAAAACTCTTCTCCCCAAATCTTATCTAATAGCAAATCTTTAAGGTCTTGTCATTCACTCCTGGCCATGAAAAATCCATTCAAACTACTGGAAGAAAAAAAAAATTATATATTTTAACCTTGATCAAACAGACTGACTTTATAATCCTTCTTTTTGGTTTTAAAAGCCTTGCTGTTTATGCCTTTTAAATAATGTCCCCAAAAAACTGATTTCTTTTCATTCTGTCTTTATCTTTTTTCAGAAACTCCTTCATAAGTGTAACACATCTCTTTTGTAGGTCCAAAATAAGAAACTTGTCCAAGTCGCTCTTCTGCATTGAAATCCATATATCCAAATCACTCTTCTGATTTATTATTTGTATGTCCCTTTTAACTATTAAAACATGAGCCAGTTTCATTTGTAAGTCCTGTGTAGCATCTTTATCAATATCATTCTTGTATTCTATTATTTTTAAATTCATATCCAAAACAGCCTGATTCTCAGTTATATCCTCTTCTAGTTCCTCTTTAAAACCCATTTTTATACTATCAGACAATCGTAAGAGAAAGTTCTGAATACATTGCTGAGAAATATCCTTGAAATCTTCCAGAGTTAAAATACTTTTCTGCGTTCTGTATTAGTGGATCTTCTCCTTTAATTGTAATCTTTATTTCTTTCTGATTGCCTCTAGTAACCAGCCTTCAAGGTCTCCTTTTATCATATTTTTCTCTAATCCACACCATTTTCTAATGGAAAGATTTCTTACACAACTTCAAGTTCTTCATATATATTTGAACAGGATTTTAAACAAACCACAGGAAGGATTCTCACAGCTGATTTCAAAATCTTATTTCCAGTCAATCTAGCCCTTTAGTCCATTTATAACTTTCCAAAATCAACGTTCTGATCACCCTTTTGCTGCTTATTTCCAAATAAAAGAAGTTTCTTTAAAATATTTAAGTTCTTAAACTTACATGAAACTTCTTTCATTGAAGGAAAATCACCCAGTGAAAGAAAGTGTCTTTCTGAAGGTTCTTAGTATCCAAAAAGCAATTTACGAGCCATTTTCAGAAGTGATTAAGAAAAGAAGTGGGCAAACCTAGTGTCTCTTTGAAGGGTCCGAACAGCAGCTTGGGCCAGCTGACTCTCCCAGCTCCCAGAGCTCTAAAACCTGACCGAGACTACTGTTTTACAGTCTTGTTTTGGGGACCCTCTGTAAGGAGCCCTATGGGCAGTCCCAAGTCCTCCCATTTATCCAGAGAGGAGTTTAGAAGCACCAATCTGTTTGTTGGCTCCTCATTCCACCACAGTCATCGGCTCTGCTGAAAGTGAAGCCATCTTCAGTTCACCATTGCTTCCCTGGAGGTCAGAATTTCCCTTCATTTTATTCATGTAATAGCAATTTTGTCACGTAGGTTGTTCTGAGAGAGAGAGTAGCTGGTCCAAAATCACCAAGATGAAAGTGGACTTCAATCTGGCTCTACTGAATCATACATCTGTGGCTTAGTTTTCAAACCCCACAGAATGTCCCCCTCCTGCCCTTTGATTAAAAATGCATGCTACTGTGTTATATGTAATAACACAGAATTATTAGCTTGCGAGTCACCAGCTTCCTTATATGATCTCAAAATTGCCAATTCAACCATTTATATTCAAGACATCATGGTTATTGTACAAAGTTAAGGGGTGATGTGAAGCTAGGGCAAAATACAAGGCAGTTTCAGTTTTTCATAACTGGAAAAGAAATAATTTTGACAGAAGAAAAAAAAAGTATATTCAGATGTAAGAGTTTAGATTTTTTATTTGCTCTTATTAGTGAACCTATAGTTCAGTACTGTCATCTGGGGCAATTTTTTAAAAAAATGCTACTTCAAGCACAGCAAACATACCAAAGAGTACATGTTTATCTGCATATGATATTTTTGCCATTTCATAATAAATGCACCACTCATATAGACACAGTACAGAAAATCTTTTAATTCTTGTCTTCGGTGATAATTCTATCAGGAAAAGGCTCATGCTGCAAATCCACATAATAATTTCTCTCCTAAAGGTAGAAAGTAATACCATTCATGCTTACCTGTAAATTAGTACTTCATCATCAGAGCAGTTATACTGTAGCTGGTACATTTTAACTCTTGGCGCTGACTTGCTTACTGTCCACTTGACTAAAGCCGAAGTAGTTGTCACCTCAGAAACCAAGACTGCCCGATCTGGTGGTCCCTTGTTTTCTCCTCGATTAGACTTGCTGGAACTTGTGATGTCAGAAAGTCTTGATTTAGGAGGGGCTGTCCGTCCTGTACCATTGCTGAGATGTGGAAGCTGGACAATGGATAACTCAATTGTTGCAGTAGACTCTCCAGCAGCATTTGCTGCTATGCATGTGAACGTTCCATAATCTTTAGAGGTTGTGATAAGGATTTCCAAAGTGCCATTGTCATAAACTACTGTTCTTGAGGAATTCCCAATAAGTCGATCATCTGGTGCCACCCAATGAATGACTGGAGATGGATCTCCAATGGCTTTGCACTTCAAAGTGGCAGTTTGTCCTTCTAAAACCAACAGTTTGTGAGTATGCTGGGTAATCAGAGGGGGCTCACAAACAAATTCCTCTTCCTGGACATACCAAAAGTATCTTCCCTTTAAACCTGGAGGAGAAGCACAAGTTTCCATATCATCATCTCTGTCCAGGCGCCGTAGCCACAGTAGCTCACAGTTGCAATGCAAAGGGTTTCCTCCAAAGCTTAGAGATAAAGGTGGGGAAAATGGAGTTGAGGTTAATGGAGATATTTGAGACCTGGCAAAAATGGGATCAGGAGGAAGCTTCTGAAGTCTGTTGGAAGTTAGATCCAACCTGGCTAGTTTCTGAAGGTCTGCAAAGGTCCCCTCTGTGATATAATCTATCAAATTATGATCTAAACTAATCTGGTGCAGGTTTACCATCTTCATTATGGATTCCCAAGGGATGCTTTTGAGGTTATTATAAGAAAGATCCAGATCTTCTAAGGTAAGCAGGAAGTCTTCAAAAGCTTCATCTGAAATATAATTTAGTTGATTGTTGTTTAGAATCAAGTGCTGAAGGTTAATCAAGCCTCTCAAAATATCCTCCCCAATGTCAGGCAACCTATTACTGTCTAAATGCAAAGATCGTAGGCTTTCTAAGTCAGCAAAGGAATAGGGCTGAATGTAACTGATGGTATTCCTAGACAATGTAAGGTCAACAAGGCCAGTCATGTTGGCAAAGTCCTGTCTGCTGATATTAATAATAAAGTTGCCCCCAAGCCGGAGTTCAACAGTCCTCCTGTCTATGTCTGGTGGTACAAAAAGGAGTCCCTTTGAAGGGCAGAGAGTCCCCAGTGACTCAGACAGATTCTGACAAACGCAGTATTTTGGACAGGCGTTGACCACAACAACCACTCCAAACACCAGGATGCTGCAGAACAGTTTTTCCATGGTAAATCAACGATGGGGCCTGCAAGAATGAGAAACAGTTACACATTAGAGAATTGCTTTCATACCAATATCAGCGAATGAAAACAAAAACAAAAATCTAAAGCAGCATGTTTTAAAATCTAGTGGCATTTGAAGTGTTATTTTACCAAGCAGGACATGACAAATGTATTTAAGCAATACCTCTAACAACACACAGTTATACTTTATGGCTGTTTTCTAGATAGTGTGATTGGTACTTTTAGAAAGGATAAAACATGCTGCTTTTTTCTGTATGTTGACAGAAATCCCATCTCTTTTATTCTGAGAGCTATTCCTTATTTAGTTAATCATAAAATACTATTTCAGCTGGAGAGGGCAAACTCTTCTTTTGGAGGAAAGATCTTACACTTATTTATCTCCTTGAAAACATCCCTGTGTTAGGGAAACGTCTGGAAGTCATTCAATGGTTCACCTGCAGCTTGTACAAAGCTCTAAGCAGACCTGGAGCAAATTTAAGACCAAGACAGGAAACAGCAGCAATATCAACAACATACGCACAAAACATGAACCACCCTCCACCCCAGTGCCTTGGCATCAGAGAATGCGTGTTTAAGTGCTTTCTATTACATCTGAAGGGGGGAAAGCTTTCTGGTAATTGTGGGAAGCTCTGGAAGTTAGAAGACCATATTGAGTAGGGCAATGATGCAAAGAAGGCAGGGCTGCATTCAACATGTTGGGGAGGCCAGGATGTTCTATTTTATTTTTTGTGGGGAGGGATTTGGAACATATTTTTTTCCTTTTTTAGGGCAATTTTAGCCTGTCACAGTTTTGGGGTGTTTTGAATCTTCACATCTATGACACCAGTTTTCATCAGGTATGATTAGAATGAGCTTTAAGAGCCAGTATGGAAAAATTAGGAGAAGAGGAGGAGAAGTGATCTGGTGGACCCTGAATTATTTATTTATTTATTTATTTATTCAATTTATATAGCCATCCATCTCACCAGCAAGCAACTCTGGGTGGCATACAACGAGGCTAAAACAATCAATCAATACATTAAAAGATATAAAAACCAAGTAAAGCAAATAACAACAAACAGATGAGGGGATGTTAAAAATAATGGAGCCACCTCACTAGCTCACCTGTCCCGTGGGATCCCCAGGCCTGCTGACATAGCCAGGTCTTGAGGGATTTCCAGGAGCTCATCAGTGATGAGGCCAACCTCACCTTAGGGGGAGAAGATTCCACAGTGCAGGGACCACAGCAGAAAAGGCCCACCACCTAGGGCCCACCAGATGTAGGTCTCTAGGTGATGGAACCCATAACATGCTCTCTCTGCTGGAACTAGTAGGATGGGCACTTTCAAACAGCTTTCCTCAAGTAGGTGCTGGTTAGAGATTATAAGAGTTGAAGTCCAAAACATCCAAAGAGTAACCAAGTTAGGGAAGTTACTTTAGGATGTAGATTTAGTTCTTTCAGTCACTAAGTGCAACAAGAAGGAATTAGTATAAGACCACACAGTAGCCAGCTCTACCTTCCATCACACATCTTTGCTTCAACAGCTGAATTGCTCCTATGCATTTAGTCCTATGCATTTATTTATTAACAATATTGATCACCTGCCCCCAATTCCAAAGGATTCTGGGTGGTATACAGCTAAAAACATCAGCTATACAGAGACATTCTGTATGTATATACAGTTCAGACTATAAAAAAATAATAGTAGAAATATGTAATAATGGCCATGTAATTAAATGATGAATGCATAGATAGAAAAAAAGGTCTTCCTCTCTTGATGTGTTAATACTCTGCAGAAGTAAGTTAAGACAACACAAGGTCATATAACAAGAAAGGTAGCATAGTCAGTTTTATGATGAAGGATTCTGCCCTAGTAAAAATCTAGAAATAGACTATCTCAGGACAGGCTAGACTTTTTCAGAAATGTTGATTTAAAAAAAAAAAAAAATTACCTCTTAGCAAAATATTGAAATAGTAATCTTTCGCTTCTGCTACATTTGAATGTGAAGCTCCTATCATTTATGAATCTGATTATACAAGTCCTTGAGATTTGCTACACTTGGAGAATTCCTGCTAATGCATATTTCAGGACTATACAGTTCACAGCCACAAAACAACGCAATGCAACACATTTCCATTCTTCTTAGATATCATAATGTAACCTGTGAAGAGACAATCTCCTAGAAATATTTGTATTGTAAGAATTTTTCCGCTCACAATTGTTTAGATGTCAGTTCATGGAGTGCTATTAATGTGAGATGGAGAAGAAGAAGAAAAGGTTGAAATACCTCAGTCTGTTCAATCCTGCAGATAAAGAGAAGACTCTTCCAACACATGTTTAGCTTTACCTTCTCTCTTAAACTAGAATCCTGTGGCTTTGTAGCCATGCTGTTTATGCAAATCTCTGTTACAGTTAGCAAAGCTCTGAGCTTTGTATTTATCCATTAGTAACAGACAGTGGGCTTTCGGAATCTCAAGTATAATTATATTCTGGAGCTTTAATTTAGTGTGCTATCCTAGAAGCTGTAACTATAAACAAACAAACAAAAAAGGCTTTAGAAAACAATTTGAGAAGGAGATGGATACAGTTAATTAGCAATGAGCAGAGATTTCTTTACCTATCTCCTTCCCCTATTGCCTAGCCCAAATCTGATTTTTTTCAAGGTTTTTGTGCAGTATGGTTTCTCCTTTTAGTGTGTTCTATTTCCCCAATTACCATTTGGGGAGATGCTGTTATGTGTCACGGCACCCCTGAGAGCAAGTTGACATGAAGAAGCATAACTGAGGAGGAACAATCGAACACAGTTATGGGATATAGGTAACAATATCAAAGAAAGGACAGCTCAAGTTATGTCTATAACTTCTAATGCCTAGGAATTAAGTTCTCCAGGCATGTGTATGTGTGTGTATCAGAGAGAAAGAGAGTATCTGTGTATGTATGAGAGATGCATAAAGAAGAGCGGTGCCTTCACTATCAGAAGGATTATAGAATCTTTGAAAGGATGAAAACAATGTGAAAGTCATCACTCTATTTTATTAATTAATTAATTAAATAAATAAATAAATAAATTTTTCAATCGCCCATCTCCCCCCAATGGGGGAACTCTGGGCGATTCTATATAAAGTGGACATATTCAGATGAGCTATTACATAAACTGAAATGCAAACAATTGCTGGCTTCAGAGGCTTGTGTCCACAGTGACATCAAGGAATTCTGAATTCAGTACCTGAAATAAACAATAAATTATTTAATTATATTCACGAAAAATAACTGCTGAGGGCGATTCCCTGCAAAATCTATTCAGTGAAGAGAATAAAAAAAAGTTATAGTAACATTGGAAGGAATGACTGAAGATGGAAGCTAAGGACTATTGCTGGTTGCGACAATAGATCTCTCTTCTCGGAATAGTTATCTGGTGAGGACTGTAATGGAGAAACCCAGATGAAAGGAGTATGTAGTCCTTAAAAGTCTTGGGCATATGGGGAAAAGGAAAGTTAAGCTCAGTCTCCATTACTAAGTAGACAAAAATCAAATAAGCCAAACAGCCACCATACTAGAGTGATCACCTATTGATCAAAAATCCAACAAAATTCTCCTATAGGATTATAAAAGAATCAAGGTAACCTCTTGCCATTAGGTAAAACTGAGGAGTTGGACCAGATATTGATCCTATTGTACTGCTTTCTACTACTTTCTAAGGAAGAGAGAAATGAGCACAGGATTCTCTCTCTCCCTCTCTCTCTCCCTCTCTCTCCCCCCCCCCCAACCACTCCCACCCCACTATCCCTTTGGTAGGAATCCCAGCTGAGTCTATGGAAGCTCATTCCTTCTGCCTCTTTAGCATCAATGGTGGACCCAAAGAGCCTCTTCTCAGCTCTTGCCTTTCAGGAACCAGCTGCTCACCCTCTTATGGAAAGCCTTGAAGCTACATTTAGGGTCCTTTTCTTCAAGACAGGTTCCCTACTCACACCTTCCATGGGCCCTGACTAAGGGAAGGCTGGTTGGAATGATGCCATGAGTTTCCTCCTATGTTTGTTCTCTTTTCTTTCCTTTTGGGGTGGTGGATACAATAGGTTTCTTCTTATAAAGTCCAAGTGTGAAAACATGAAGTGGGGGAAACCAAAGACCTCATTGAATTCTTCCAGCTGCCCTGGAAGAAGGATGACCTAGGAAGAAGGAGAGCACCTTTCTCTCTTTGTGCTCATGATCCCTGATCACTCTATCCCAGAGAAAACCTTCAAGTTTTCTTGGAGGGAATGTTTGCAAATGAAGCACTGTGGGTGATTGAATCCCTGCTAACTGTAGAAACAGGGTGGCCCAAGTAGATTGAGTTTAGCAGGAGATTAAGTGTATCTGGAACTCTGTCAGACCAGACTTCCACTTTGGCAGAACAAGTACTTGCACATAAGGGGTTAGCTTAGATGGGTTCTAAAGTGTCTTCTGACTCTGTGCTTCTATGTGCAAGCCTGCACTTCCTACACGTAGAAAGTGAACTAAAGGGGCTACATACACCCTTTCAGCATTCTGCAATTCTATGAATTATATTAAAAACATATGAAACCAGCCCCAAGAACAGGAAACATTGCCTGGGAAACATAAACTAAAGAGAAACACAAGCAATGCCACCTGAAACATCTAGGATCATTTATAGTCCTACCTGGGGCAAAATTACTCCAAATCCCCAAGATGGTTATTCACATTGACCTTGATCTAAAACAAAATATATCCATCAACTCATTTGAATGGAAGGTATATTATGTGCCTAATGACAACATAAGACAAAGGATTCCAGGTCAAATCGAAAGCTCAGCTGTGCACCTTCCTTTAAAGTGGTGAAGGTAATGAAAAGCTAAAGAAGATAATGGGAGCTAGAAGAGCTGCTGCTATGGCTGTGAGCACATACCCCAATGATGTGGTAAAGTGGAGAAAGTGGCATGCTGTGGATGACATCTGTCATGGGTAATAAAGTGGAGAAAGTGGCATGCTGTGGATGACATCTGTC